TCCTGGATCTTTGTGCGTGATACCGCATTCGACTACCTAGGTAAATTTGGCCCTAAAAGAGATGGCTCAGCGAGGATTTATGCGAAATCGCCTGAGACCATAGAGTTACCGTATCCCCAGATGCTGCTTACAGAGTTGCGATTGCATGCCCACGTTCTGAGGGCTCTACATTTGCGCCCACCGCAGACACCTCGGTTGCAGATAATACAGCACGGGAACCAAGTTTATGCTTCAATCGTATGTGTGCGTTCGGATTGGTGGGGCGCGAGACGCCATCTGGCGACTAGTCGAGCGCGTATGCACTGTGAAGGGTAGTGTGACGTGCCGAGCGGCCCGGGAAATCAGGCCAATTCGGACACGCCAGAGGCCTGAAATGCATCCAAAGCCGTAGGTAGTATGTTGTTAACAACACGTAGCCTCCACGCCTCCTTCAGGGACGCATACGAAGGAGGCTCTTGTTGGCAGCTGATCCACAATATGCGGATCCTGCCGCAGACCAACTGAAAAGCCGGCATAGCAACACTGACCGCCTGCATCGTTGGTTCATGTTGCTTGAAGACACATGCAATCGATTGGTACCAACACATGAGGAAGGCGAGTTGCAAAGCCCAGCGAGCCAATGGACAACTGATCTTCGAAATCTGAAACATGAAAATACATTCAGGCCAGTGCAAAGTCGACGATTCGAACGCGCGCGCTAACACAAGAGCGTGTCACGATGTTCATTTGCTGCTTTATACGGCACGCCAGGCTGACAGATGTGTAAGGGTTCATCCTTCGGCGTTGCTAGCAGTGTTCTGGCGGGAATCGATGCGAGGCTGTCCGTCACTCATCATACGATGGTCGTGGTGGCATAACGTCACGATGTTGGTGGTAGTCGTTGGTCGCGGTGGCTGGATTGAAGGGAGGGACGCTAGCACGTCGAAACTAGGTTCAACGTCGACCGGCCAACAATGCGACCCTTGAATATCCGCTCGTTTGCGTCACAAACGCTCGGCATCAGCGCCGCAGACGCGTTGGAGGCTCTCTAAAGCAAAAACTGGGGAACAGGACGTATCTCCGATGTGATTTGGAGGCGGCAATTGCTTACCCCACATCTCGGTATACCGAATGCGGCTAAATTCAGCTGTCATCCGAGGTCGAGTTGCGATGCGTGAGGTATGATGTTGGAGAACAGCTTCATTCCCACACATTGCTCGGTGCCAAATTGGGCTTTACATATAGGAATTGGCCCTCCAAAGCATATACAAGACCAGAAAACATATCTGTGTTGCTAACACCACCAACGTACTACCTATAGGACTCAGCACGCGCCTCCCCGCATTTCTCCACACGACCGAACACCACCTGCACGACAACAACCGTTGCTCACGATGGTGATATCAACAGCAATCCGCATTGCGCCATCGCGTGCAGCTCGCGCCCTCAACCTTCTTCGAACTGTACAATACACACATCCTCCATCATGTCCTTGCCATTCGAACCCCAACTACCACCAGTCGCCGTCTACCGTTCAGCAAGCACGACGACATCTCGCAACACCCCTCGATCACTCCCAACAAAAGGAATATGCGTTTGAGATGGCGGCATCGAGCATAAGATTCGGGCCTGGATGTACAAAGGAAGTTGGCATGGACTTCAAGAACATGGGCAGTAAGCGCGTCATGGTCGTCACAGACCCCAACGTGAGGAAACTAGACGCGATGAAGCAGGTCATTGAAGGTCTGGAGAGAGAAGGTGTGACATACGAGATCTTTGACAAGGTCAGAGTAGAGCCAAAGGACCACAGCATAATGGAGGCCATCAACTTCGCGAAGCCATGGAAACCAGACGCGTACCTAGCCGTTGGCGGTGGTAGTGTCATTGACACAGCCAAGCTGATGAATTTGTACACAACCTTCCCCGACGCAGAGTTCCTAGACTTCGTCAACGCGCCATTGGGCAAAGGAATGCCTATTCCGTCAAAGCTCTTCCCGCTCATCGCTGTACCAACGACTGCGGGAACTGGCTCTGAAACGACTGGTACTGCTATCTTCGACCTCGTCTCCAAGAGAGCAAAGACTGGTATTGCGCATCGCAACCTGAAACCCACTTTGGGCATAGTGGACCCTCTGAACACACGCACTATGCCCTCTGCTGTCCACGCATCTTCAGGTCTCGACGTACTGTGCCACTCTCTAGAATCGTGGACCGCAATCCCATACTACGAGCGCACACCACGACCGACCAACCCCCTCAACCGTCCAGCCTACCAGGGCGCAAACCCAATCTCCGACATCTTCTCTCTCAAGGCCCTGAAAGACACAGTCAAGTACCTGCCTCGCGCAGTGAAGGACCCCGATGACCACGAAGCTCAGTCGCAGATGCTGCTTGCCGCAACCCTCGCTGGTGTAGGTTTCGGCAACGCAGGTGTGCATCTCTGCCACGGCATGTCGTACCCCATCTCAGGCCAAAACCCTGGATACAAGCACTCAGGCTACGACGTCGACCACACCATCATCCCACACGGTGTCAGTGTCGCAGTGACCGCGCCTGCAGTCTTCAAGTTCACTGGTGCGTCGAACCCAGAGAGACATTTGGCAGCTGCCGAAGCGTTCGGTGTCGATATCTCGAACGTCAAGGCAGAGAGCGCGGGCGAAGTACTAAGCGAGGCGCTCGCGGAGTTCTTGGTCAAGCTTGGTGACCAGCCACGTGGGTTGAAGGCACTTGGGTTCGGGAAGGAGCATTTGGATCAGCTGGTTGAGGGTACCATTCCGCAAGCGAGAGTGTTGATGTTGGCACCTAGTTTGGAGATGCAAAATATTGATGCTGAGAGAGAGCAGTTGCGGGGTTTGTTTGAGGATGCGATGGAGTATTGATGGACTAGTGGCGGCCATCTAGGTACGCAGCTTGATTTGTAAGACTCGTAACTTCCAATACATTGAAGTCATGTTCGAATGCATCTGCGCTAAAGGAACTGAGTCGCATATTACTATCTTTCACATTGCCAGGCAATTATGATCAAATTCCGGGCCCGGCAGGCCTGGCCGTGGCCCTTAGAGTTGCGACAATCCTCACCCGATAGCGTCTTCCAAGATCTGAGTCGCATAAGATGCGGAAGTTGTAAGTGGCGAGCCGTCGTAATACCATGGGATGGAGGTGATGAGATCAGATCAAGGGTACAAGGTGACGCCGTGAATGGTAATATCGGAACCCCAACTCGACTATGCGAACGAACTTGGCTGCTCCATTCTTACTACTTAAGCTCGCACTCTCTCGATATATTTGTTCATCAGATCCATATCTGCAGACATCTCCTGTTCTGGAAATAGCAAGAAGTATGAGCTATACTACGTTGCGCAAGATGGCACTACAGTAAGCCACCATTCCGGTCCAATAGATCCTAACAGCTAACGAACGACAAGGCGTCGATCAGGAACGCCAGAGATTCCCGATTATGACGATGTCGGTCCTGCTACGCGCGGTTATTATCTCAGTATCGCCGAGTAAGTGGTAGCGTTTCGTTGTGATCTGGCAATATTAACATCGAGTAGCGCATCAAGACAGCTCCAGATCTTACTGAAACAGTTGAGATCTCTCCATCGATTTACCCACAAGCACAATTGGACAGTACTAAACTATGCGAAAAAGGAGGAATTGGCCGCCTATCACGCGGCTGCTTGCAGCATTATGAACGCGATCCGTCGACTCAGAGCCGATGTTGACGAGCAGATCGTAAAGCATGAAGCTGCCCCGTGCAATCAGATATTGCAGAAAGTGAAACCCCTTCCGCAGGAGCTCCGCGATATGATATATGGCTTCATTTTCCAGGACTCAGCTGCTCGTCTATTGGCGGAGGAGGACGAAAAGTTCGAGTGCTACGTTGATGCCTGCCTCGAATCGGGAAATACAAGGCGCATCCCTTACCGCTATCTTCTAGAGCCCGATTACTTCGTTGATGACGCTGTCATCAGGGAAAATTTGGCTAGAGGGTGGTTTGAAACTACAAAATTTGGGATTATGGATCCCTCCATCATGAATTCTTTTCTCCTTCAGTTTCCGTGGAGTACTGGACTACAGCCACTCAGCTTACTACACCACGTCACCTTGGTGATATTTCTTGAATCCGATACTGTCGACCACACCGGCTACCTGGAGCGATTCAAGTCACTGCTCCTCCTCGACAAAGCGCATACAAAAATCACGATCTGCGTAAACGACCTCATTTACTACCCAAACTTCAGAGACGCAAAAGTTTTGCCATTGAGAGCGTATGCGCAGAGTGCAGCCTACCTCTTCCCAGACTTGGTTGAACTGAGAAGGAAGGGATACAAGGTGACAGTGCGTTCTGAAAGGGGCCTGGAATTTCTAGTTGAGCCTGAAGAAACTACTGTGGAAGGGTGGACGAAGAAGTTTGAAGCAGCTGTTGAAGAGGCTCGCATAAAGTTCTGGAAAGAAGAGTACAGTGGACATTATCCAGACTGGGACGACATGCAGGACAAGATGGAGGATGCGTCACAGAAGTATATCTCGGATAGCTCACAGCACTACTTTTCAGGTGATCTGCAAGAGGATGATTCGGATGAATCACACGAGGATGAGTCAGACGGGTCACAAGAGGATGATATGGACGAATCAGAAGGATAAGATTTGGAACAGCCGCGAGCAACCTAGTTCTTGTATTGCACGACTCGCTCAGAAAGAAACGGCACTGACTGGAAAATTGTTAATTAAATGCGTCGCATGCTGGTGCTATGGGCCATCGGACACCATCACGTATCGAATGTAAGCCTTGACTCTAGTGTATCGCAACCATGGTTCTCAATGAAATCTCATCTTAACAACCAAAGTATACCACGGTCACATCGGACGCTAAGCCGAAAGAGCTTGGATGCGTCACCTTTGCTACTTAACTTCGCACTTGCCCAATGCTCTTGTATATCGAGCTTTGAACACACAGATTTCCTCGTTTCTAGAATCAGCAATACATCTCGGAAATTGACTATACTACGTGTCACAAGATGGCGCAACTGTGAGTAGCAACAACAGTCCTCTAAATTTTGATAGCTAACGAGCGAAAAGAGCCCAGATATATCCACCAGAATACTGGAGCCCCATCAGATGGGATGAACCTGTCGATTCTGAGTACGAGATGAACTTTTACCTTAAAGAGTATGTAATACGCTTCCGTTGCGATCGAGATAGTCATTGACAACGGGCAGAGCATCGTTCCGGCTGGAAAACGCTAAAAGGCTTTCATACGCTGTCCGGCTCTTGGAAGACGACGCAGACGTGCCTGCGCTCTTGACCACTGAACAGCAAACAGCCTTTGGAAAAACAAACGGCATCGCTAAGAGCATCATCCAGAAAACGAAATGCGAAGTCGACACTTGCATCAGGTCTTACGAAGCGCCGCGCTGCCGTGCGTTGCTCGAGGAAGTACGCAAGCGATTATGTCAAGAACTCCGCGACACGATATACGGGTTCATCTTCCAAGGCCAACGAGTCGAATTAGACGAAGACCATGAAGTCAGCGGACACGAGAGCATTAAAGGTATTAGCAAAGCTAATCTAAAGTGCCGGTCTGACACCTGGCTACTGACACCCGGCTATCTCACTCAAGACGACCCAATCAGGCTCGAACTGGTTAAAGCGTGGTATCGAAATGCGACCTTCCTTGTTATCCATCCCAAATTCATTTGCAGATCTCTCAGAAGATTGCGATGGTCCACCAATCTGAACCCGGCCGGATTCATCAAGAGGTTTGAGATCAAAGTACGGATCGGTGGCGAAACGTTTGATCAGGAATGCTTCGCGGAGAGACTTGAGTTGCTCAGGCATTTCCACAGGACTTGCCCGATTGTTACGATTATATTGGAGAATCTCCTTGAAAACATGTATGACGGTCACGATGCGCAGGCATGCGCTCAACACGCCGCATACATGTTTCCAGTGTTACTGTCACTGCATCGTTTGCGGTTCAAACTTATCGTTCGGTCTGAGTTGAACTTGAAGTTCGTGGTGGTACCGGAGGAGACTACCGTGGAAGAATGGACCAAGAAGTTTCATGAAGCGATCGAGTCGCCACGCGCTCAAGCATCCTTGCAGGAAATCGAACGAAAAGCTCTTGCATCAATGCGTCGGAGGGGATGGTAGGGACATGGAATGAAAGCTGTGCGCACGTGTCACCGCTAGACATCACGAGCGTTTTCCGCATATACCTCTTCATGAATAGCAGACCCACAGTACCACTTACCACCTGCACTCTTCATCACTTCTCCAATTTCACACTCGAGTTGACAGAAAAACATCATGTCAGTGAGCATCAACAGCAACGTCACAGGAGTAACGCCAACTCAAGTCCCCAGCGGTGCGCGACTTGCCTCTGCTGTGGAAGGGTAAGTTCGTCAAATACAGTTTGCGGGCGGTGATAATGAATTCCAATAGATGCTCCGAGTCGTCTACATTGAATCATACAAATACCAGTGTCGCTGGGGAGAATATTGTATCCGCCACTCCAGACGAAGATCGGAAGTACCTTCAAACGTATGCGCCATCTGGTTGTGAAAGAACAACAGCTGACCTCCAACAGCGAGTTCAAGAAGCTGAAAGTCCTAAAGAAGATTATAGACGCGCGCGTCGGAGAACTGAACGCCGAGAATCAAATCTTCTGTCTACGCAATAGTTGTCCAGTCAAGGAGCCTTCTCACGAAACCGGTCGATACCAACGGATGTTCAGACTACAGGAAGAAGCCCGGAATATTGCTGGTGAGATCAACCACCGTATGAAGCGCTATGCAGCAGCGCAGTGTCTCCCCATCTGCACCACGGTCTGCGACAAACTACCCCGCGAGCTTCGCGACATGATATACCAATACATCATCGGGGAGTCGATCGTGAAGATTGATAAGGAGATACTGGAATCTTTCCTCTTTTGTTCCGAAATCGGTTTCACGCCCATGTTCCCCGCAGGGTTCACAAATCGCACCACCATTGCCTGCGAGCACCTCTGGGATCGTGACTACTCCGGCAAGCTCTTCTACTCCGAGCTTATCGAGGCTTGGTACCGCAATACAACGTTCTCTTTCGTAGAATGTCGTCTCGTCCCTGAATTCCTCAACGATCCGCGCTTCGGCTACGGCGTACCACCGCGAGAGTGGGTGCGCAAGATCAAAATCATCAGGATTACGACAACGGAGAGTGTCCTCTCTATATACAAGGGAGAAGAGAAGGCATATAACATCAAGACCGGCGATCTCGATAATCTTAAAGATCTGCCTAAGCTGACGCGTGTTATATTCGACTTTGATGCCGCATTTTCGTCACTTCCTACGTATCACGACAACTATAGGCGATTTGTATTAACGGATCTGAAGGAGATGTTTCCGAAGATTCAAGATCTACTAGATAGGGAGTGTAGGGTATCGGTAATGTTCTCCAGCATGGGGCCGCTCGAAATGCGAAGGGATGAGCTTACTGCTCAAATATGGGAGGATAAACTGGAGGCTATTAGGCCTGATTAGACGAAGTACATGACACCCAAAAGGGCAGCCGGACGGCTACATCTACCAAATGTCATTTCCTTGTACTGTATTATGTTATTGTCGTCTCCTACCTGAAATTGAACGAACTTGAAGATCCTCTGTGCGCGCTGTTGTCGGCGCGTCGGCGCGTTGCCTGGTCACTCACCTTCACCACGCCAGTGACCTCAAATCCACGCTCCTTCCGCAAACAGGACTTCCAGGCCCTTCTAACCAGCACGTCATCGCCACCCATTACTCAGCTCCGGCGCCGGATCAACCGCCCCGCCGCGCGCCCACACTGCCTATATAATCTCGCCCGCCCGCTCCTCCCACTTCTTCTCTTTTTCCTTACCTTGAACTCAAAACCGCAATCGTCGCTCTTGTTCGCATAGACGACTTCGTTGCGGTTTTACTCCTCGCTCTCTCGCGCTGACGTGAGAGAGTGAGGTGGTTCAAGGTCATACCGCTACGGCGGTCGCTTGGCCTTAGGGACAAGCTTTGTACCACATGGTTTTTCGGTGTGGTGTCCAAGGAACACACTTTCTTTGGCCACCTACAACCACATTCTTCCGGATGTCGCTTCGCTCCAAGGAGAAGCTTCTACCGATACGGCAGCTCATTACTTCGCACACTCGGAGTAATAAGCGATGATACCAAGGGTTGGATGATTGACAAGACATGGATTCACGCATCTTGGCTGATCTGTCCCACACACTTGGGAACGGTAGCCAGTCGTGACGACATGTACTTGAAGGGGTATGGGTGTCGCTTCGCTCCAGGGACAAGTTCTTTGGATCTTTCAGCTCATACCATTGCACACTCGGGGCGTACGCAAAAGCTGCTACGGCAGTGCTACGCCGGTTTGCGTGGTTTGACTGAGACAAGGCCTACGGGTCTTGGCTGACAATTCCACACACTTGGGAGCGTCAGCGTTTCATCGGGCGGAGCTACTGCTACGGCAGTCACAAGAAGCTGAGAAGCTGCGAGAAGGTGTCTTCTCGCAGGATATTGTTGGTCCCTTGCTGAGGGTGGGAGTGAGGGACTTGTGATATGGGTTGGATGGAGTTTGGGGTGGGCGGGACGGGGTTTTGAGATGGATGGAGATGGAGGGTTGGAGAAGGGGAGGGAGTTGTGGTATCGGTGTAGATAGTAGATAGAGTAGAAGAATGTCCATTCTTCTACACAACGCTGTTCTTTCGTGAGTCCTCACTGAAAACCCCCAACTTGAACTGAACTTGTTCGCTGAATGATTCTTCGCGCAGTACTTGGATTGGTACAAGATATCGCCCACTTCGTGTCGTGCGATCAGAAGACGAAGTAGGCGGCTCACACATGGTCTCGCGAAAAGTTCCAAGGGGATTGTGTTTGCTACATGCGTTCCAACGCAGTGAAGGTTCTTAAGCTGCAAGTAAGAAGAGAATACGCGCAGAGAACTTGAATCACGTACGAACACAGTATTAAACCTTTGACGAATCCCAATACAAGGGGACATAACATAGCGCGATCTGATGGATGTTGTCGCTTCTAACCAGCATTACTACTCCGACGTCCGATCTAGTGACGCGAGATTCGCTTTCTTGATATTCTTTGATTACCACATCGTGGGAGCAAAGTCATGAAAGCGCGTAGTATTGAGTGGTCTTCCCATACTTGCAATGCTTGTAGTCGGCGCACGAAGTCGACAGTGCCATGCACGCCCCTTTATGCACCAGACTTAACGACCAGCACATCTATCCGCTTCCTTCTCCGACTCCTTCCACACAGCAGTCATACATGCTCTAGTGTTCCATCATTTCCCCGCTGCTTCTTGACATCTTCCTCTCGCTTCGCCTTCTTGGCATCCACCGAATTCCAAAAAGTCCAAAAATACAACACCATCACCCTCAACCGCCAAAAAAGTCCTCGACACATCATGCAATGCGCAGGAGAACGTAAGCCCGACGTGGGGGTCGAACCCACAACCTTGAGATGAACCAATCGAGTCTAGTTAGGACGTGAAAGCTAAGAGTCTCACGCTCTACCGATTGAGCTAGCCGGGCTGATATATTGGCTTCGGGAAAATTAAGGTGTACTCAATGACTGTTGTGAGGGTTGGATTGAAGCACTGCAAGCTCAAGAAGCGTGTAGCACACGGTGTGAGGTGTTCAAGTTGGGCGTGGTAAAGGTAGGTTGAAGTTTTTTTTTTTCGGCGGATATACGGCTACACTCAAGGAAGGTATTCCAGCATGGAGCAACCACCATGTTAATATGCGAACCATATGGCATGTACACATGGCAATGCTACGAATGACCAAGACGCGCGAACAGAAAGCAGAGGTAGTAATACCTACACCCCACTTACACACCTTCCACACCTAGCCTCAGGAACAGATACACAATCTATCACAACACACGCCACCTTCGCTATCGCTGTCTTACCCCTGCGTGTAACAAAAAGACACATGCACACTGTCAAAAAATACAATACCTCAACAGTTCACAGCTGGCCGTCAGCACTACACCCAAACCCTACGCACCACCCAAGCGAACACTCCAATACTCAATTCGCGACACCGACAGGACCCACATCGGCGGTCATGCACGTACCCGCAGAGCCTCAACACCTTCCTCCGACCCCCGATTACAGCCGCCTCCATATCCAATAACCAGTAGTGCCAATTTCCATCGTCTCACCTATCATTCGTTCGGAGTCGGGACGGCAAGCTTGCACACCAGCTATCGTTCGATAGCGTGCTATCGCACCAGACCCCGAAAGCAAAGACTTTGCTGTATCCACAGTCCAGCCACTTCGGAGTCGAGATGAGACAGCGATGGCAACGGTGGTTCGCGATGGGCTTAGGTTACAAGCTTCCATATTCCCGGCCGGTGAACTAGCGGCGCGGAGGTCATGCGTGTTGGTGGTTGTATGCAGTCTGCGTTATGCGAGGGTGATGCTTCTTCTCGAAGCGGCGCTAATGCAGAGTCTAGAAGGGCATGAGAGTACATGCCACATGCGATTCACCGCGCGATTATTCTCGGGAGGATTGGGATAGGCTGGGAACTTGTGCGTAGTTGCCGTTGTTTTTCGATACGCCGAACACGTTGTCTAAGCGTAGGCAGGCGTAAGCCGGAGGCAGAGCATCGGAGGTTAGCTGGCATCGGTGGTTTGTAGGGCTCTGGTTCTACTCGCTTGGGACTGGGAAACCGATGCCGAGCCTCCGAGGGTAGACTATCATTGTCTTACCATGCCGGATGCAGTAGCCCACTAGCATCCATCGCAGTCTAAACGGAGAAAAGATAAACTAGACTCGTTGCGAGTAAGTTGATACCGGTGTAACGTTGCCCCTCAAACCACCGCTTGCGTGGCGGTGAAAAATGGCTGTGGCTCAGATACTCGAGAGGCTCGAGCCGAGCATTCACCGTTGTGGGTCGCGGCGCTGTCAGCTGCGGACATGGAACATGGCATTTCAACTCCATGCCATATCCACATGTACAGAAATAACCGAGAAGTTCTGGACTCGCGGGAACTACTCGTTGTGCGCTTTACAGTGGACCTTTTTGTCGGAAATGTACGGGTGAGATTGAGAATTGTTCTCGTCCGCGCATCTGCAACCCTCAACTGCGGAGTACAGCCAGACATGTGACAGCAAAAGACAACGGGAACTATGCGAGGATTTACGCCCCCCAGGTGGAGATAATGATCCTTGTAGAGCGAGTAGAAACCGAGATTTTGCATGCGAGCTTTACTTTGATGGGGAAGGATCATGACAATGTGACTTGCAAAACCAACTAAAGAAAAGAAAAAACTCCTCTTCATTCGATTCGTGCAGATATCACGTCCGATGTAACAGTGCTTTGGGTAGCAATGCAGGTACGTACCTGCCATTTTGATTCCGTTGAAACAATAACCCTGGCTGCGCTCGTGAACTTGCGTTGCTTGCGTGTCGGTGGAGCTCGGCAAGCACCGCACACATGCGCGCCCGCGCAGGTTTGGCACGTGAAACTCGGTTCATGCATGCATGCGTTCGCAAGTCAGCGTCCGTCGGATTTACCGACATGATTGTGCTGCAGCGTCGACAGCTGCGCATGAGTGACGCTGTTCATGAGGAAATGGATACGATTGTGTGATTTGTGCATACTCCATCCCCAATGCGAGCACAATGACGCATGAATCAGCTCAATCGATACATTGAACACCCTGCACGCATGCGCGTCAACGCGTCGCCAGCCTCGCGAGTGCCGAATATGGAACACTCGTCTCTAATGGCCACCGGAAGGATAAAAAAGCTTGTTGTGCGGCGATGCCAAATAGCTCTAGACGCAAACGATGTAATATTCTCTGGGGCTTCTAGAAAATCTTCGCTTGTGTGTGACGATGGCAGAAGGCGAAAAGGGCTGAGATCCGCTGGCAGCCAATCGATCCGGTGGAGCGGAGGGGCTGTTGGCGCTGGCGATAACGACTCCACACCACTTGCGGGCACCAGAGGTCTTGTTGAGAGAAACATCGATATTGGTGGTGAGGCCTAGCCATGCCAATCAGCAAACTACCATCGCTATTTCGTCAGCGCGATCTTGTTGGATTTGTTGTGTGACGTATGAGCAGCTCTGTTGAAGCAAGCCAACAATCCTGCCGCAACATGTCTTGTGTTGGGGAGCTGAACAACCCTGAGGCTGACAAAGACATATCTTTCGCGCTGTAATTTACCAGTGTTCTGCATTTAGCCTGCCTGGGGGAGAGGTTTGACCCGGTTTACCCAATCCAGCCAGTCCATGATCGACGTCTTGGGCCTTGGTACCTGCATTGGATCCGGTGTGTACGTCATGGATCCCAAACTCCATGACGAAGCTCGAGCGGGTTCACCCCAGAAAAGAGATATGCTTTCTACCCCATGATGTGTTGCGACCCATTGTCTCCAGATTGTAACAGATTCGTGACCAGGATCTCGCGGCTTCTGGCAAGTGAGGCGCATTGATGACAGCATATTTGATGCAGCGAACAACCATGAAAGCAACTGATGCGA